GGTGCCGCTCTGGCCATTGTGACCGACTGGGGAGTGAACCACTGGATGGAAGACCTCTCTCTCTCTCTCTCTCTCTCTCTCTCTCTCTCTCTGCCTCTCCTCTCTCTGTGTAACTCTGTCCTTCAAATAAATAAATAAATCTTAAAAAAAAAGAACAAAAGCAAACAAAAGAAAAAACAAATAGTGGATGGAAGTAAGAGAAGGACCCTGTGGTAGGGACTCAGACAATGGCAGGGGCAGGATTCTGTGTTAGGGAGGCCGTGCTCTGTGATGAGCAGGAATGCGGGCTTCAGCATCAGGCTGGCTCTCAGTCTTAGCCCAACTGTGACCTCGCACAAGTCCTTCAACCTCTCTGACCCTGCTGGAAAATGGGAACATTAGCACCTATTTTATGGGGTTATTTGGGGGTTTAAATATAATGATGCAAATAAAAAATTACTAACTATTCATAATTGATAATGCTGTAATAACAATAATAAAACATATTTAAGAGAGTCAATAGCAGAGTTTATAGTTTGGTGTGGTTCTTACAGATATAACTTTTCAGGTAGAAAGATAACAGACTTTTGTTTTAAGATTTATGTTTTTGTTTGAATGGCAGAATTACACAGAGAGAGGGAGAGACAGAGAGTGAGAAAGGTCTTCCCTCTGCTGGTTCACTCCCCAAATGGCCACACTGGTCTGGTCTGGACCAAGCTTAAGCCAGTGGCTTAGAGCATCATTTAGGTCTCTCACATGGGTGGCAGGGGCACCTTCTGCTGCTATCCCAGATGCACTAGCAGGGAGCTGGATCAGAAGTGAAGCAGCAGGGGTTTGAATCTGCACTCATATGGGAAGTCAGTGTTGTAAGCAGCAACTTCACTTGCTGGGTCTCAGTGCTATACCTGACAAGACTTAAACATTTTTGATTTTAGTATCCAGCCTCAGCATTTCTCAGGACAACAAAATAAATAAATCAGTTAATCAAAATTCAAAGCATGCTTATAACAAAACATTTAAATTTTTTTTAAAGATTTATTTTATTTATTTGAAAGAGTTACAGAGAGTGGTAGAAACAGAGAGAGATGTCTTCCATCCACTGGTTCACTCTCCAGACAGCTGCAATGGCTGGAGCTGTGCTGATCTGAAGCCAGGAGCCAGAAGCTTCTTCCGGGTCTCCCACACGGGTGTAGGAGACTTGGGCCATCTTCTGCTTTCCCAGGCCATAGCAAAGAGCTGGATCAGAAGAGGAGCAGCCGGGACTAGAAACGGCGCCCATATGGGATGCTGGCGCTTCAGGCCAGGGCGTTAACCTGCTACACCACAGCACCGGCCCCTCTAATACATCTTAAGATAGGAGTCAATGTGGCTGGCACTGAAGCTCACTTGGTTAATCCTCCTCCTGCGGCACTGGCACTCCAGGTTCTAGTCCCAGTCAGGGCGCCTGTTCTGTCCCGGTTGCTCCTCTTCCAGTCCAGCTCTCTGCTGTGGCTTGGGAAGGCAGTGGAGGATGGCCCAGGTCCTTGTGCCCTGCACCCGCATGGGAGACCAGGAGAAGCACCTGGCTCCTGGCTTCGGATCTGCGCGGCACTGGCTGTAGTTGCCATTGGGGGCTGAACCAACGGAAGGAAGACCTTTCTCTCTGTCTCTCTCACTATCTAACTCTGCCTGCCTGTCAAAAAAAAAAAAAAAAAAAAAAAAGGAGTCAATGCTCATTTTCTGTAAAGGGCCAGTTAAGAAGTATTTTATGCTTTGTGGGTCAGTGCAGTCTTGGCTGCAACTATGCAAGTACTCAACTAAGCTACAATAGCACAAAAACAGCCTTATTCAGTACATGAATGGGCATGGATGTTTTCCATTAAGCCCTTACAGAGCATATATTCTGAATTCCAGATAATTTTCACATCACAGATACTATTCTTTTAATTTTTTTCAACCATTCAAAAAAATGAAAAGCATTCATAATGCATGGGTCCTATAAAAACAGATGATGGACCTGATTTGACCTGGAAGGTCTAATTGGCTGACTCCTGGTTTAAGGGAAGAAATATGGCTGGTGCCGCGGCTCACTAGGCTAATCCTCTGCCTGTGGCGCCGGCACTCCGGGTTCTAGTCCCGGTTGGGGCGCCGGTTCTGTCCCGGTTGCTCCTCTTCCAGTCCAGCTCTCTGCTGTGGCCCGGGAAGGCAGTGGAGGATGGCCCAAATGGTTGGGCCCTGCATCTGCATGGGAGACCAGGAGGAAGTACGCGGCTCCTGGCTTCGGATCGGCGCAGCGCGCCGTCCGTAGTGGCCATTTGCGGGGTGAACCAACGGAAGGAAGACCTTTCTTTGTGTCTCTCTCTCTCACTGTCTAACTCTGCCTGTAAGGGGGGGGGGGAAGAGAAGAAATGTCTACTTTTAGTTTCAAAATAAAAAACACATTTTTAACATGTAATTAAGAAGTGAGGTTAAATTGGTTAAGTACTTGAGTTCATTTTTAATGGAAATTGTTTATGAATAACTACAAAACTGTCATTTTCAGAATATCTGTTGTGGCAGTCTCTATGCTTTGTCACTTTTACTTTAGTAAAATTAAGCTAATCATATTTTAGAACCATCATCACTCTGTGAAATATGGTACTTATCTAACATATTCAGTCATTCAAGCTATAACATATTTAACGTATTCAGTCATTCAAACTAAGAATTTGTGAAGCAGTGTAGGAAGTCTTGGGGGTGGATGATTCTTTTTGGATGCTGTGAGCAGAGACTTGTGATGGGAGAATAGAAGTGATGGTTTGGGAATATAGGTAATGTTTGAAAATAGATAATGTCTGGAGCTTTAGTAGAAGTAAGGAAATGGAAAGCGGAAAAATAGGGGTTGTCAAAAAAAAAAAAAGTAAAACTTTCAGAGTCAAAGGTGATTGATCTTTTTGGACAGTTGTAACCCCAAACTGTGCACTTGAGATCAGAGGATCTTGTATTCTACATTTGACACTTTTTTTTTCTTTTTTAAAATTTCATTGTTATACCACCTCTGTTTGAAATCCAATTCTGCCAGCATGTTAGCTGTGTTATCTTGACCTAGCTGTATAATAGTGATTATGCCTTGATTTCCTCATTTATTAAATGGAATAATATTTTGCTCCTAGATTTACTGTGAGAACTACACAAGATAAGTATTTACAGTTGCTATGTGAATGTTGGTTTATTATTATGAGCAAAGTTGCTGCACGTGGCAGCAGGATGTATAGCTCAGGTTGGTTTTAAAATTCTGGGGATGGCGGGATGCCCCTTTAGAGTCCTGCTGATGTCTGTGAGAAGAAGGCAGAGTTCCATAGAACTTTGGCATCAACATAGTAGAAGATATCATAATAATGAACTAAAATGGTTGGGAACCCATGTTTAATGGTACAGATTCTGTTTTCCAAAAAGCTTTTCAATCATCATCTTCTTTTCCTCTTGCATCAGCTTGCTCCAAGGTTCCTAAGTGTTAGAGAGAACAATATAAGTAAGTCAATAAATTTAAGTATAGCATTAATGCCTCTCCTCTTTTCTTAGTTTTCTTTTTTGGCCAAAATAGCACTTTTAGCAATATTGTGAATCTCTATCAAGTTGTTGTGTAATTATTAAAGTTTATTAGATTTCAGAATTTTTCTCCTTTGCTATTTCATTCTTTATTCTAGCTACTTAGGAGGCTAAGGCACATGCAGTCCGTAAGTCCCATCATCAGTGTCTCCATCTTTGCTTCAATGTCTGGCTCCTCTTCTGGTGCTTGTCTTCAAGTTTCTTATATTGGCTTTCTTTTCCATCACAGCAAAGCAAAGATCACCTATGCTTTGGCTTTTCTCTTGACTGCCTGATTCTCACCCGGCTGCCTGCTCTGGCTTCTGGTGATGGCCTTTCCTCCTCCTTTGGTCTGAGCTCTCTTCTGGTGACCCTGATGGCAACTCACAGACCTGGGCAACACTAGGTTTCTGTTACCCTGACCTATAATTCACTGGTAAGATTTACATGTCCTTAAAGTCTTTCACTTCTTAATTTTATTAACTGCTTATTATTACTATATTTATGACAATGCCTTAAACTAAAAACTACATGACAGAACAATGAAATTTGTGTGATGTGGTTGATCAAAGAAAAAAATAGGTTCAAGATATATCAAGAGATGAATTAGAATAAAAATTAGAAGTCAGGATTAAATAGAGATCTTTAAATTCTTTAATGGGTTAAGAGTGGCTATAGAACAGAGTATTCAATAGAGTTCTTTTTCTTCCTTAGACTCTAGTCTTTTATTTATTTTTCTATGATAGCTTAGAAATTCTAGTTGTACTGAGTGATATGCTGTGGTTATCATTGTTTTTGTTGGCAATATAAGGCTAATAATAAAATAACAAGTCAGATTACAAAATTCTTGGTTTCTTGACTTCATAATTAACTATAATGATAAATAATGAGCTCTTTCTAAAGTAGCATTATTGCATCACTTTTGGATAGCATATTAATGGTTACTGTTGCAATGAACAGCCATAATCTTAAGATTTGGTAAAAAAGAAAAATATATTGTGAATTTTGGCATATAATACAATTTAAAAGTTAAAAATGTTCATCATTTCTAGGCTAGTTTTTTATAACGATATTTTTTTTCTGATGAGAGTGTTGTGAGAATTTCATAAAGGTTGATAGAATTAGATGTCCTAATGTATGCGAAGTGCTTAGTTGGGAGCTCAGGATGTTTAGGATAAAAGTGCTATAAAAGTATGAGAGTGGCACCCTACCCATTCTAGGGGCAAGGGACTGAGGGATGTCAGGAAAAGTTTCCCAGAGGAGATAGTGATGGAGCCGAAGGATGATTGATAGGAAAGATGAAGAATGGTTGGAGGTAAGATGGTTGTCCTTTGTGCTTAGTCTTTAATCTTTAACTGAGCATTAAACTGTGTGTTAATAGGTTGATACACTGTATGCAATCTTTCAAGAGCATGAAAAGTAATGTTATGTAGTTCTATTTTATTTCATGTTATCATTAATTTTCTTTCTTTCAGAGAATTAGAGATGGTAGCATTATTGACGCAATTAAAACAATTTGTGTGGGGGATCATATTGAATCCATAAATGGAGAAAATGTTGTTGGGTGGCGTCACTATGAAGTTGCTAAGAAGTTAAAGGAATTAAAAAAAGAGGAACTCTTTACCATGAAGTTGATAGAACCTAAGAAGGCATTTGGTAAGTTGGGTGTGTGTGTGCGTGTGTGTGTGTGGTATGTGTGTGCGTGAAATGTTCACCTCCCCTGGTTGTGTCCTTTTAAGGGTAATGAATACTTGATATGGTGGAATGGTCTTTTATTGTATCTTCTTATCAAACTTATTAATTAAGAGTATTAAAAAATGATAGCCCTAGTTTATAAGGAAAATGACTATTGAAGGAGGGGGAAATTGCCTTGTAGAAGAACCTCATCTAAACAAACATTTGGAATTATAAAGTCTAATGTCTAGCGGCTGAATCTGATGTGGCTGTTCTATCTCTGAGAATAGCGAGCTGTATTGCTTTTTGTTTTGATGAGCAGTAAGGTTTTTGACTGAACTCTTTATTTTTATTTTATTTTATTTTATTTTTTTTTTGACAGGCAGAGTGGACAGTGAGAGAGAGAGACAGAGAGAAAGGTCTTCCTTTTGCCGTTGGTTCACCCTCCAATGGCCGCCGCGGCCGGCGCGTTGCGGCCAGCGCACCGCGCTGATCCGATGGCAGGAGCCAGGAGCCAGGTGCTTTTCCTGGTCTCCCATGGGGTGCAGGGCCCAAGCACCTGGGCCATCCTCCACTGCACTCCCTGGCCACAGCAGAGGGCTGGCCTGGAAGAGGGGCAACCGGGACAGAATCCGGCGCCCCGACCGGGACTAGAACCCGGTGTGCCGGCGCCGCTAGGCGGAGGATTAGCCTAGTGAGCCGCGGCGCCGGCCTGACTGAACTCTTTAAACCATAATAGCTGTTGTTCATGGACTTCAGCAGCAAAAATCATGGTTATACATATAACTGGAATTTAAGAGTTTCCTGGTCTATTTTAAAGACCTCCTCCACCAATACTTTTTCTCCATTGACATTTTGGAGTTGGCAGTAGGGGATAGTATGACATTACTTCACTTTGGTGTGACATCTGTACTTGCTTGGTGTTAGCCATGGCAACTGTATTCCAACTGTTGTTGAAAACCACAGGGCCATCTCATCTACAGGGGAATGTGCCAGCTTCTCTCTCACCACCCCGAACTATTTTAATAAGCCAAATGAAGCCCCAGTGTTCATCAGCATTAAAATATCCTCAGTAGAACCGTTCTTGGCTCATCCTTATGCATCTGTGACCTCACCCATGCTGTGGTTCTTTCCTTTGCTCACAGACCATAAATATTCCTTCTACTTTGTATCAACTGCTGTTTCTTTTTTTCCCCAGGACAGTTAATGCAAATAATGAGAGAATGCAGTGGGCCTGAGGAATTGCATTTTCTCCTTCTTAGCAAGTAAGACCCAGATCCCAGCTACATATATGGAATTAGAAAGTTTTCTCTGCTTCCATCTGATTGTGTGTCACTCAGCAGATATACAGTGAAAGCTGCAGTACTCATGGAAGCAGAGCTCCATGGAAGGTGTAGGAAGAGGGAGGTTATGCCTGGGATCTGTAGGTGCCACCACTGCAGGTGCAGTGGTTCTGCACTGCAGCTTCTCAGCCCGTGTTTCCCAGAGGTGGCAAGCAGTACTCAGGTGTCTCTACAGCAGCTCCTTTTGCAATGGCTGCATTTGGCTCCCCGGGGAGTGTGGCACATAAGCTGGTAGTGTGTGGGTGGTTTGACGCAAACATTCTTAGTTGATTTGGACCGGTAGTAAACCAAAGCTATTCTCTTAGTACAACTCCATGAGTATAATTTCTTCCTGTATTTATCTTCACCATGTACTCTGTTTTCCAGAGTTAATCTTTTCCTGTCATCTGCATCTAAATCTTTTGGTACCATGTCTTTGTTGAAAGTTGCTGATATACTTTTTTTTTTTTTTAAAGTTTTTATTTATTTGTAAGGCAGATTGAGAGATCTTCCATCTGCTGTTCCCCAAGTGACCATAACAGCCAGGGCTGGGACAGCCCAAAGCCAGGAGCCTGGAACTCCAATTGTGTCTCCCAGATGGGTTGCAGGGACCTAATATTTGAGCCATTACCTGCTTTCTCCTAGGATGTGCTTTAGCAGGAAGCTGGTTAGGAAGCCAAGCTGAGACTTGAACCCAGGCACTTTGATATGGGATGTGGACATCCCAAGTGGCGGATTCCATAATTCCTGCCCCATGATACACTTTAACTTGGGTGCTAGGTTCGTGATAGTCTTAAGTGTTACAGAAGTCATTGTATTTAGTTAATAATGTTTCATGGTTAGATTTTCTCCTTCAATTTCACAGATACTTCATTGCCTTATGTATTTAACTACTATTGAACGTGCTCTCTGTTGCCTCATGAAATCTTGAAACACACTTCAGAAGCACCCTGGGTAGGTAGGATTTTCCTAATAGGGGTGTATTATCTCTGCATTCCAAGTTCTGGTCATGTTGTGGGTTAGGATACCTGGAGACTGATTTTGGAGCAACAGTGTTTTTTCCCCCAAGGTTTCTGTGAGCTTAACTCAAGCTATCTAAATGCATTTTCCACTCTGTGGGTTGATCTTCAACTTTGGGCCCTACCCCTAAGGTCTCTCTTGGAAGCAGTCCTTGGTTCTCTGCCCATCTTCCAGCCCTTGGTTTTGCTGCTTATCTTTTTGCCTCTGGGATAAAGGCAAAGCCCGTTTGTGCCTCACCCTCTGGCTTCATTCCAGTGCATAGCTCTTTGCCAGGCAGGTGGTATTAACTGAGAGTTACAGTGGTGATCAGGCTTGCTTCAATTCTCCGGGTCCCAGTCTTATCTCTTGCTGTGTTTCCTTCCTCTCTTCCTGTTTTTTTCTAGCATTATTGTTGACCCAGGACCAAGAATTAAAATGTTGTAGTCCTTCAAGACTATGTGCCTTGTTGTTATCTTGGATCCCTAACAGGAGAAAGGGCCAGTTTGAGTGAGGCAGAATTTTCTCTGCAGGCTACTCTGCCTGATGCTAAGTCTAGGATCTTACTAAGATCTGTCAGAAATGGCCTCACACTCCAGTGTTTGGACATTTTTCTACCAGCTTCCAAAGATTTAGCAAGTAGACTATATCACAAAATATGAGAGGAAGTAGTATAGCTAGCTGCCTATTTTGCAATGGTATAGTGAGGGTTGTTAGTGTAATCTCTCTGTAGTATGTAGGGGGATTCTTAACTGCTTACTCCCATTTCCATATTTTAGATTCGTCACTAGCCATGCCCTGCTTCTAGGGGCCACTTTATGTGTCAAGATTCTTTGATATAGAGCTACAGAATAAATACTATTTAATTTAAGGGGAAGGCATTGATGGGAAGACTACCAGGTAGGTTTCAGAAATCAAGACAGGTTTGATCATGCCTTGGGCAGATGAAGAACCAAGGCTGTTTCAGACTTATGTACTAGGGCCTTTCACAGCACTGGCTTAGTTGACTCCCTCCACTTATTTTCTATTTTTTAACCATTCAATTCAGGATTCAAATCCCAGGAGGGGTGGTGGTGGGGGCGCTGATTAGATCATATGCCTACCTTGATAGTGGGGAGTACAAGCTACATGACCGATATGTGTACTGAAAATCACAACAAAAAGTGGTAGGGTAAGGCGGGGGAAGTTTCATTTTGGGTTGGAAAAAGTAGCAGGTGTTCATTTTACCATTTATTGTCACAGGAAGTTACCAACTGGGAATTCACCAGAGCAGCTAGAGTGAGCAGAGATAGATTGATTTACCAAACACACTGCGAGGAAACAGCAGGCAAGCAGAGGTAGAGGCTGACTACTGCTGCTGCCCACAGACTGCACTCTAAGGAGTATAGCTGTAGTGGCAGGCCCTTCATAATTTGGGTGATTGTTGCCATGTGCTTGCAAGGCAATAGTGGGCAGGATAGCCAGAGGCTGTCCATTGCAATATGGACTGCAATCTATTTGGCATGCTTGTAACTGTTTCCTCAGTTAGGGTGAGTTTTCTATGGTCTAACAGGTTTTTCCAGGTAGGGTAGGTGATTTACATCTCTGGGTAGAGCTTATATGCCTTTGGTGTAGGGATTCCACCCAATGCCCTGGGGCCACTCTCCACATTTATCCTAAATTCTTACACCTTGCAGAGGAATGTTGCTTTTCTCTTGACTTAGAATCTCACTCTAGCTGTGTATGACAATTGTTGGTCTAGGAGAATCACGATGGGTCTGGAGGAAGAAGGCTATTGTCAATGACTTTGGATGTCTGGCTTTTTTTATTTTTATGTGTTGGCTGCCACATAACTGTTTGGCAGTGAACTCTCTGGATGCTATTTTGATAGCATCAAACTTTCTTTCAGGGAAAGAGTAGAATCATTGTTTTCTTGGTACTGATTAAACGTTTGGAGGGTAGTAGAATCTACAGATTTGGACTATACTTCTGGGAAGATCCTTTATTTAAGTATCCTACAAATTATTGAGAATATGCTGTGTTTCAGGTACTCTGCTACTAGGCATAGTGGATTCTAAGTGTGAAGACTAAGATACCTTGATCTTGGACTTCTAGCCTCTAGAACTGTGGGAAAATGAATTTCTATTGTTTAAGGCACCCAGTCCATGGTACTTTGTTATGGCAACCCTGATAAACTCACACAGAAATCAGCAGGCAAAGAAATGAAAAAAACACAAAAAACAAATTGCCAGAGCTCTGATGATGAGAATAGATCTTGGGCTACTTATCGTTCTAGAAGGTACAGCTTTTTTTTTTTTTTACAGTATTATTTATTGGGGCTGGTGCTGTGACGCAGTGGGTTAACACCCTTGCCTGAAGTGCCGGTATCCCATATGGGTGCCGGTTCTTGTCCTGGCTGCTCCACTTCTGATCCAGCTCTCTGCTATGGCCTGGGAAAGCAGAAGATGGCCCAAGTCTCCTGCACCCGTGTGGGAGATCTGGAAGAAGCTCCTGGCTCCTAGCTTTGGATCAGTGCAGCTCTGGCTGTTGCAGCCATCTGGGGAGTGAATCAGCAGATGGAAGACGTCTATCTCTGCCTCTCTCTGTAACTCTGTCTTTCAAATAAATAAAATAAACTAAAAAAAAATTGAAAAAAGATTTTATTTATTTATTTGAGAGGTAGAG